ACACTTGACTCCCCAATACAACATTTCCAGCTAAAAACACCAAGTGACCCTCCAATTTCGAGTGGGTTTTATTCCTTCCAGTACTTTTCTTCTTGTGTAAAAAAAATGAATGTATGCATGAACAAAAGGCTACTAATATGTTTATTGAAAACAGTGCTGTGCCGTAAATTATTATATCCTTTCTAGACTTTGGTTGATGATGTAAGAACTAAGTTTCATCATTCCTGAATGCTATTACATGTACAGTTATTTCATTCTGAAAGTGTTTGATTTTATTTTACTTACCTTCAGTAGGTAAAGATAGATCTAGCCTCCGGATTCCATTTTAAACTTTAAAGGGCAAGTATTTTCTGTAGCTGCCTGTGAGTTCCCCCCACCCTTGCAGACAGCAGGATGTTGAAGGGACAACTGTCCTGTCAATTAAAGATAAAGCCCAAGTTTAAAGGTTATTATTTTCAGTGGCTGATAGGTAGCCCTGGCCTACTGTTGAAAACATTGGGTAGTAGACCTGGAGTCCCAGGACCATCTACCACCCATTATTTAGAGCACCCCTCAGCTGTTCAGTGATGTCCTGCCCTTTAAAGGGACATTATTTTCAGTGGCAGTAACTCTGGCCTCCAGGGTTCAGAGGCCGGGTCCTCCAGTTAAAAATAATAGCCCTTCAAATGTTAAAACAGATGTTGTACCCTAGATCAGTTGTGAACAGCTTCCTGACCCAATTCTGGATATTTCCAGTATTTCTCAGGAGAGGGGGGGAAAGGAGCTGGAAGAGATCGGGAAAGTTTTTCACAGTATTGGACATACTGGGAAAACAATATCCAAAAATGTGTGCATCAGACATTATTGGGGAGTTCCATAAGCTTCACGGTGCCTTGGAGATAATGGTGATGTAATAACTAATGGGGTAGTGCTGGAACTCTCAGTGTCACTGATGGTTTCACAGCTAAAATAATTAATGCTTATAGGTACCATCCTTCTGGATGATTTCCTGTGTCAGGGGCCTACTGAAATTAATGGGAGCTGAGAGCAACACAGGCATGCCCTAAGTCAGAAGTCCCCAGCGTGGTGCCTGAGGGTGCCATGGTGCCCACCAACACCTTTCCTGGCACCCAGCATGTGCTTTAGAAAGTTGACAGGGCCAGGGACACTCTTGCTTGGAGAGGAGAGCCTTCTGATTGGCCATTGGAGATCTGATTGGCTGTACAGTTTAAAATGGTGTTCTTTTGGTAGCGGCTGCCACCATGGTGTGTGTTTTATTCTCTCTCACTCCTTTTCCCCGGTGTGTGTGTGTGTGTGTATTTAAATTATGCCCCTTCTCTCCCCTGCTCTTGGGCTTCCTCTTTTGTGTGTGCATGGTTCCATCTTCCACAGCAGCCATTTTGTGATTGACTTTGCCTCCTGTAGCAGCCATTTTGCAGTTAAACCCTCCACCCTGACAGAATTCCAGAACAGCCCAAGGACTCCAAAGTTTGGGGACTTTTGCCCTAAGTCATTCCCAAAAATCACAGTACAAAATAGTATTGCAAATTATACAATCTATATATCGCGGATGCTAGCTCACACATCTACACAGCTCTTAATGTAATACTTAAATAACATTTCAACGCTTTATTTTTGTAAATTGGCATTTAAAACTGACCACTTTATTAGAAGAGTAAGAAAAAGTGTTAAGAGTAAGAAAACCCCTTCAGATCCCCTCCATTTGGCATGATCCGTTCTGATCTTGGTTTGCAATACGCATGCCCTGTTCCATCATGCTCAGGCTAAAATAGTACATCTGAAACAGCTGAAAACACAGCATATAATGGAAACATCAAATGGTCTCATGCTGTTACCGTGGCACGCACTATCATGAAGAAGAGGCTTAAAAAGCCTTTATTTATTAAGGAAAATGTATATGGGTCAGAATTAATTTAAAAAACCTTTTAATTGTTCTGCCATTA